TGCAAGTTTCTGACCTTCACAATTTCTCCCCAGATTTCCACAGCTCGAGCTCCAGATCCACAGCTATGGCTGTGGATCTCTGCCTTCCTAAAAAACCTGCAAAAAATGAGGAAATTCCTTAAGATTTTTCTACTACTCCTCTACTCTTTTGGTATAACTTGATTCTTTAAATAAAGGGGGGTAAATTAACATATATAATATCTACAATTACCAAAAAGAGTACCAAAAGTTGAGTGAAAATCATGCATAAAAGACACTCAACAGGGACACGGTAGAAGAAGGATTTTCTACTCCAGAAGACACATCACACCCTACCGTATAAAGTTTGTGATCCTTGCACCACTTCCATATGAAGTTACAACCAACCCTATCCAAAAACAAGCACATGTTGTGGCATCCAATGAATCTGCATTTGATATGTCGGAGTTGCATTCAGAACTGCATTAACCATTGTGACCCTACTCGACTTGTTCAACAACTTTCCCTTCCATGATGACAAGCAAGATGTTATCCTATCCACCACTTGTGCATAATTCTCCCTCCTCCAACAACCATTCGTCATAGAAAAGTCCAAATATTCTCAAGCTTGCCGATGAACCTTACATTTGTAATTTTTGCCAACTTATTAAATTGATCTCTTGGAATAGCCTTCCTCACAAATGCATGCAACTTTTCCATGCTCACCCTTAAACCCAAAATCATACAAAAATCCTAGTTGTTGAAGGTAATAGTGTGGGTGACATTGTCGTTAGTGGTGTTGGGTGAATAATAGTTATGGTGAAAGTACTACTAGTGGTGGTGGTTAACAATGATATTCATAGTACTGACAATGGTGATGATAATGATACTAATAGTGATGACAATAATGATGTCAATAATGATGGTGTAATGACAATTATAGTAGTAGTGACAATGATAATAATAATACTAATATATCAATGGTGGTAGAGGTGCTAGTGAAAGTGGTAATAGTAATGATGATAGTTAAGATTATAATAATGATGACAATAACGATGAAAATAATGATGATGATAATGTGGATACTAATAATAACAGTGAAAAAGACCATAATTAAATATAGTGAAAGTTTGATTTTTAAAACTAAAAAAACAAAAAAAATGTGTTCTTTTGTTTTGAAAACAGAGTTAAAAGTTTTTAAAATTGAGTTAAAGCATTTCAACTCCATTTTTTTCAAACATATTTTGTTTTGAAAATAAAGAACTCGCAATTACTTCTCACACAAGCTTTATATATATTTGTTTTAAAGTTAGTTTTAGGTAAAGTTTTAAAAACTGGTTCAAATTAATGAGTTTGACCAAATCAATTATCTAAGCACTGAATTTAATCATTCATATATTTGACTCATTATAAATTGATAGATTTTCTAGATGAACTAGTGAATTGATGGGTCAAAACTTGGACTGATTCAACCCTGGAGATGCTCATCTACTACTTTAAAAAAAAAGTGCAACAAACAAGAATCAAACCCATACTCATGTGAATAGTAAGAACCTTAATATAGCCACAAAACTTGGACTGATATTCAACAGTGGAGATGCTCATCTACTACTTTTTTTAAATAAAAAAAAAGTGCAACAAACAAGAATCAAACCCATGCTCATGTGAATAGTAAGAACCTTAATAGCCAATGTACGTACCAACATGTTTACTTTTAATATATGCAACTTAAATAATCTTTGTAGTATGTTATTGATTTTAAGTTATATATTTAATATTTAACAATATAATACATATATGCATATTATATATATTATTTTGAGATATCAATTACAAATATATATTTTCTTTATTTTTAATTTGTACTAATTTACACCGTTCAACATGCAACTTTCTCATTTATTTCTTCATACAAAATAAAAATAAAAGAATTTTTTTGACACCAAAAGGCAAAGATAATTTCGAATAAGATGAGAATTGAATCCGGGTAAATGTGAATATTTAACACCTTATATTTTTTGGGAACTTCTTTAAAACATGATATGAATTTATTAAAATTTATAAGTATGAAATATATATGAAATAAATATTTTTTTAAAAAAAATTAATAAAGATTGGGTTATGTGATTCATTAATAATCTACTAGTTCGACTCTAACTTACTGACCTAATATTTTAACTAATTCGATGATTAGTCCAATTTTTAAACCTCTAATTTAAGCATATATTTAATATATTTAGAAATATAAAAAAAAATTAACACATCTAAAAACTAAATTATGAACATGTTTAAAAAAATTCATTCTAGAAGCTATATATCTTTACTAGAAAAGCATCTACAAAATGTCCTTAAACTTAAAAAAAAAAAAAAAAAGCTAAGGTTCACAAATTGGGTAGGAAGGACACAAAATTTTTAACCCACGTCTGGAATTGCCTTTAGCAGCATCATATGGAAGAAGTGATGAACAACACTGCCAACGGAGAGAATGTTTGGTTGTTTTTTTTTTTTGGTATTAAAAATGTAAAAGATTTTAATACTTATAATTTTAGTTTTCCTATGAGTTGATTTTTCTTTTTTAAATTTCCAGATTTAGTTTCTAAAATGTATTTAATCCATTTCACAAGATTTTTTTTATAAACATTTATAAATTTCTAACTATATGTTTTCAAAAAATATTTTCCAAGAAAAGTATTTTTATAAAAAAAAAAATCAAATTGGTGTATGAAGAGAAATATGAGAGTATAAACAAAAATGTCCCAAAATAAAGTGGGTTAGATTTAAACTAATTTATAAATATAGATAAAAAAAATATAGCCAACCTGACTTGTTTAATAGATTAAACAGGTCCCTCCAATGAATTGAACCTATTTTATCATCCCTGAACATAAGTGTTCTCATAGCAGTTCTTAAGCCTAATACATCTATTGTCTTTTACCTCTTATTGTTTTAAATTTAAGCAATATTTGAGCAATTGAGCCAAAACACTAGATGAATATTATTAATATTGATATATTCTCTTCCAAATTTCCAGAGAACTTATACTGTTCGACAAAATGTTTGTTACAAGAGTAAAAAAGGATCTAAATGCAGCATCAACATAAACCTCACTTAATGTGCAAGGTTAACTGAAACAGGACTCCTGACACGTTGGTGATTGCCATCACTCCACGTCAACCACCCGAATACATAATCACTTGTGTTCACATTTTGCGGTTTCAATTTCAATGTAACTCTGAACTCCTTCTTTTCACCCTTTGCCTTGAACTTCAATTCCCTAGGCTCAACCGTAACTAGAACTTGTGGTGGTGCCTTGATGTGCGCTCTATAAGTTCTTGGGGACCCAACATTGGTAACAGTTCGAGTAACACTAATAGAATGTCCAGGGCCAAATTCTGGAATTGTGATTGCTGGATAGTTGTAATCTGCAAGATTGAACGACTTTGGACAAGTGTAAGGCTTGCCATAGAACAACCTAAGCAGGGAACTGTTGTAGCCACGAGCACACAAAAAGTTCAAATGATCAGTAATATTCTGGTCATATACAAGTCCAGGGTTCACAGCACGATTAGGTCTAATGTGCCCTGCACCGTAGTCAAATGGAGTTGACTTGTTCAATGATGCATCCAGGATAGGCTTTCTAGAGTTATCTTGTGTGGTTGCTGCAAAATGCATGAACCTTTTTAATTAGAGTGTACAAATAATTGAATGTCAAATAATTCATATAGCTATCTAAAGTGTAAAACATGTACTTTATACTTTACCTGTGGTAATGATTGCTGACTTAATAGCAGCTGGACTCCAATCAGGATGAACGGATTTGACTAGCCCAACAAGGCCAGCAACGTGAGGACATGACATTGAAGTTCCAGACATAGTAATGAAAGGAGTTCTTCTTTTGTCCGAATCTAGTTCTGTGGGAGATATAGCTTCACTAAAAGCAGCAATAATGTTGACTCCTGGTGCAGTTACATCAGGCTGAAACACAGCATAAATTAATGATCACTTCATATTTTAGTCCTAAAGGGTGAGTGATGGGGTGATCAGGAAAGTAAATAATAGAACCTTGAGGATTGCTGCCTCAAGTTGATTGGGACCCCTTGATGAAAATGAAGCCACAAATGGATTTGGCTTCACTCCCAATTGTGTTTCCACTCTTGAAATGTAAGCCACAGGATACCTGATAATATAACATGTCATGATAAGGTCAACCAAACCAATAAATAAAAACTAACAAATTTGACAAGCCTGAAGCATGAAGGTTGAGGAAGGAAATTATATTTACTTGGTGCGGTTGATGTAATTATAAATGTAAGTGCCACTGGTGAAGTCAACCTGTGTAGTAGGAAGCACATGAGGATCGGATATGATCTCATTCCCTGACTCCTCGTCATTAGCCAAAATCATTCCAACAGCCCCAACACTAGCAGCCACCTCACCCTTCGCAGTTCTACCAAAACCACCACCTCGAAGACATACCAATATTTTCCCCTTCACCTTCTTAGCATCAAGAGTTCCATTCAGGCAATAAGGACTACAAGAATGGACAAGAATATTACAAGAGAGAACATGCCCAATATAAAGTCAATTTAGAAGTTGAAGTTGGTATATACTGATTATGAGTATTCTTACGCTGCCATAGCAACTTCTTTATCAAGACTGGCATCGAAAGCACCGATCAACGGGTACATCTTATTAGATGGTAAGCCATGCTCTGAAAGGCTAGCTCCCTAACGATAACAATAACAACAACTAAAATGACATGGTTTCATATAACAAACAAGACACGGTTATAAATATAAACAATATATATACCTTAAAAGTTTTCTTGTCACCGAGTGTGACATAACTAGCGAAGTTTCTATCAATTGTGCTTGCAGCAACTGTGAGAATCCAAGGTTCATTGTTGCCTATAGTTGCTGGAGAAGGTCCTGAATTTCCTGATGAAGCAACTACTGTTATA